TTTCCAATACTTATATATATTGATGGGGTCCCCTCTCAGTCATCTTTTCTTGAGGTTGAACAGGCCCAGCTCCCTCAGCCTTTCCTTGTAAATGAGGTGCTCCAGTTCCCTAATCATCTTTGCAGCCCTGTTCTGGACTTGCTCCAGGAGCTCCACAATAATCCTCAAATGGTGACCATATTACAATGATTGCATTCCATATCATCTAATGAATGTGGTGAAGGTCCTAATGCCCACCACACATTGAGAGGAAAAGTCCCAGAGCCTAACCAACATCTATAGGGGTTATGGGGGTTCTCTCCCTGTGGAGTTGGGCTGTACTCAATTATTCTTTAGAGCAGTTTCTCTTCTTCTGGAAAAAAAGAGAGGTTAGAGAAATTACACTTATGGGGAAATGTGAACTTTTGTGTATGTTTGTTACAAATATGAGAAAGATTCACTTTGCAAGTTGGAAAAGCAACTAATAGAGTTTCTTTGGCATGGCACAAGGGCTACTGAGAAAAGTGTCTGGAGTCAGGGTCGTTGAAGAGGGAAAAGGGAGTGCTTTTTTGAGCAAAAGAGATATTTCAGCTTTCACAGGTAAAAAGATTTAAAAAATGAATTTGACTACAGGACAGATGGATTCAGATCACTAAGTAGCAACACATGTTTTCTCTTGGGGCTTTCCACTTGTGGTTTACCAGCCATGCCACAATAACTGTCTTTCACTTTTCTGTGAAAGTAAGTCCATTTCTTAGAGTCTTGCTCCAAACCTGCATCAAGTGTTGCTTTCCTCTGCGTGTGTTCAAGTTGCTTGGGATATGTAGTCCCTGTGAGCTGCTACCTTTAATGAAGACAAACAGAGGGATGCTGATGCTCAAGTGCAGCACTGAACTGGGACAGTGCAATGAGCTGGTTTCAGTTCTGGATGTGGGAGTGTTGTACCTCTGCTCTGCTTGGGGTTGTAAATTTGGGTGAGAAATGGATATATCAGCCTGGGCTTAGTGCTGCCTTCAGGCTACTGTATGGCTTTCACTGAGTTTGCTCAAGGTATTTTGCTGTGTGAGACAAAAATAGCAAAGGTGGTCAAGTCTGTGTTGCGTTGGTGTCTCCTCATCTGAGGGCTTTGGGAAGGAGCACTCGTATGCCCTGAGGGATGTGGCTGAAAGCAAAACTGCCACTTGGATTGGGGGCAATGGTTTGGAGTGACTTGTGTGTGCGTGCTGGTAGATTTAGTCAAACACCCAGAAGAATGAATGGATTTTATTTAAAATATAAACGTGGCACGTGAAGACAAAAACTCTTATTACAAAACTCCCACGTCCTTTGAATGGTAACAAACAACTGGGACCCTCTAAAAATAGCTGGAACCCCAAACCAATTGAAAGCACAGATTTTGCAAGAACAGGCTTTTACATTTAGATGTATCCATGAAGTAGCACAGAGGTAAGAAAATCCAAGCAGTCTGGATCAGTTTAACAACATATTGTGGAGTGACTGCTTGGTCATTTCTTACATCTCTGAACCGTTACAGCTTCTTGCAGTTGTAGCATATAAAAGTCATAAAAGTTGGAAAACTGTTTAGGGAAAAGGCTTCTGTCAGTTACAGCAGCACCAAAGAGACTGCACAAAACAACTTCATGTGATAGATAGATAGCAAGGAAAGGTCCACAGGACTTCTTACTGAACCACTAGGAAATGGTTACCCTGCACATCTGCACAGGTGTTATTCACATTTTTAAGGTGCCTGCAAGCTTTGTTCAAGCAGGTTCCCTTTATGGTTCACTGAAGACTAGATCTGGACTCAGAAAATATCTAACACCTCTCATGGATGTGAGAGAAGCACAGCTATCCAGCTTGGAGCCTCCTTGGGGGTATTGCTTCGACAAAAGCTAACTGCTGCACTATTGCCTAATGGTTCTGGTTCCACGTGATGGGAGAACAGGACAACAAAATTTTCACTTGGCTGGGACTTGACAGCTGATCTTGATATGAAAAATCAATGTCCCAGCTCACGGTCGACACCAGAGTGCCTCCCACACACAGAACAAGGGCAAACAAGGCTGTGACTTATTCACAAAAATGGTACAATTTTTGTCTAGTAACCAGTGCAAGGGAAGCTGAGTATTTCCAGAACTCAGTCTAAAATTGTAATCTCCATCCCCCTGTGATGAAACTGTCCCACCTGGGCAACTGAGCTAATATAGATTCCTCCTCCTTCAAAACCTCATACCATCAGCAAAGTTTGCTGCAGCCAGTTTCTCTTGGGGGCTGAAACAGCAAGGCACATGCACTGCCACAAGGAAACTGCACTTCTTGGCTTTCCAGACATTCATGGACAACAGCCTGACAGCACTTTTGTTTTGTTTT